TCCCTTCCCCCCTTTAAACGGGGTTAATTTGAAAAATTTCGGGGGGACCTGGCCCTTGGGCTTCAAGCGGGGCCCCATAGTGGCCCGGATCGGGGGGGAGGGGGGGGGCCCCCCCCCTTTTGCCGGGCGGGGGGGGGGGTTTTTTTTTTTGGGGGGGGGGCCCCCCCTCCAAATTTTTTTTCCCTTTCCAAAAAAAAGTTTTTGCTACTTGGGGGGGATTTTTTGGGGGGGTGATTTGCCTTTTGGGACTTTAAATGTGGGGGCCGGCCCCTCCCCTGCGGGTGCTAAAAACCATTTTTCCCCATTTGCCGGGGGGGGGGCCCCCTTTTCCCACCGGGGGCCCCCCCCCCCCCCGCTTTCAACGGGCCACTTTTTTTCTCGCGTCTCACAATCATCAACCCCAACCAACCAACCGCACCGGGCTTGCAGGTGTACCACCCGGAGTTGGTGTGCGATGGAGGCGTCATCGATATCGACCGCCGTTCGCCGTACCCGACCCTGCTTCTCAAGCACTGCGGCCTAAAGGACGTTCTGTTCGAGCCGAGCGGGAACTACAGGTAAAGAGCTGCAGGTTGGCGAATACGTTGTAGTAAGACTATTGCCATGATTCTGAGTTTTGCGGTTGTCGTTGTTGTCGATGGTCGTCGTATCCGCAGGCTGAATGAACCCCCCCCCCCCGTGAGTGCGTGCTTGTTCAGTTAGCAGTCGAGCGCGCCGTCCGGCTGCCTCACCACGAATTTTTTGTTTTGTCTTGCCCTCAGGCACGTCCTTCCACCTCTCAAGCTCCCGCTGGAGGACGAAGACAGCGAAGACGAGAGCGACAATGCTACTGACGACCCAGAGGGAAACTCCTCTTCCTCCTCCTCCTCCTCCTCCTCCTCCTCCTCCGCCCCCCCCCCGGGCCCGTTTGGCGAGGTCTCCGCGGACGATGCCCAGCTTTAGAGAGAGAGTCGTCTTTGTTGTTGTGTTTCTTCGGACATACACCCAGTCGAGCGGGGGTCGGTTCCGCGTTGTCGGCGGTGGGTGCTCCAATGATGATGGACAGAGCAGGCACGTACGTGTGGTTGACTACCGAGGGAGATTTTCTGTCCGATGTATCGTTGGCGCGTGGTGGCTTCTGGATTGTGTAAGTCCTGAACGAACCGAGGTTTGGTTGTGTTTGTTGTCGCGCTGACTGACGATGTCGGCCCCTCTGGGAGGGAAAGGCGATTTCACACGTGCTGTGTGGTGTGGTATGTACCACAAGTTTTTGGGTGGGTGCGCTGGCTTTTGCCGAGCGAGAGGCCGCGGACGCACTCGATGAGACCATCGGCCAATCGGAGAGCGGCGGCTGCCTTGCAGCGCCAGGACTAACAATTTGGCTGTCATGATGGTGTGGGGGTGTGCGTTGTTGTTGCTATTTGGGGGTGGTCCGTCTATTCGAAACACCCTCTCCGGTGAAATGTGCCAAGCGCGATATAGAC